AAAAAAAAAAGTATTTTTCTTCGATAAAAACAAAAATTAACGTAAACAGTGAATTTTTGTGTATTTTTTAAAAAGAAAGCCATACAGTGGTTTCAGGTGATCTCGATTCTTTTGTGTGTTTTCTCTATTCAATCCAGCAAATAGTTTCTTTTTTTGTTAAATTAATCCTGCGATTATTTTTTTTTCTGTGCAATGCTTGTTTTTCTTCAATATTCCTTTTGGATTATACAGAAATTCAAAAAAAGTGTGCTTGTATATAATTGATGTGTATATATATTTTTTTTATGTGTGTGTATAACTTGATTAACTCAGCCAAGCATTTCTTTGTACTTGCTGTTTTCTTTTTTTTTTGGAAAAATTTTTTATACAAGCAAAATAAGTAGATATTGGTTATGTTGTTTTTTTCTCTAGATTATAAAACAAAAAATGGCAACACGAGGTCCACAAACAAAAGTACAGAAAGTAATGGTTCAACCTATTAATTTAATTTTTCGTTATTTACAAAATCGTTCACGTATACAAGTTTGGTTATATGAACAAAGTTCAACACGTATTGAAGGATATATTATTGGTTTTGATGAATATATGAATTTAGTTTTGGATGATGCTGAAGAAATTTTAATAAAAAAAAATCAACGAAAAAAAATTGGAAGAATTTTACTTAAAGGTGATAATATTAGTTTAATTCAACAAGTGCAAACAACAGGCGCACAAACAAAATGAGGTGATCCTGTAGTACAGAACAACAAAATTTATCGTCCGTCTATATATATATGTGTGTGTGTAGTCATTATCTTTTGTTAATTTTTGTATCTAAACAAGGAGAATAAAAGAAAATGTTTGTGTTGTTATCACTGTTAATTTTTATTTTCTTTTTTACAAAATTGAGATAGAAAAAAGACATAATAAATTTTTGTTAAGTGAGTAATAAGATGTTAGGAGAGTAAAAAATGATGATGATGATTCATAAGTCTTAGTAGGTAGGCATTTTTTTTTCTTACTAAAAAGCTATAAAAATAATATATATCTTTTTTTTTAATTGTATAGTATTTTGACTACTATATAGACTATAATAATAAGACCATAAAAACTTCATCCATCATGTTTTTTATATCTACATAATTATTAGTCCATGCTTTATAAAATTTAATATAGATTTCTCAGTAATCTCTTAGCTGGTGTTCCAATGTAAAAAGGCGAACGTAGAGCACCTGCTATACAAGTACTATATTTCTCATACATCATATATCTAGAATTACAAAGTAAATCTTTATCTAATAAATTTGCACTGTACTACAGAATAAGTTTATGAAAAAAAAGTAAGTAAATATATGATAGAACGAAGAAGAAAGACACTATTTACTCTTTACTTTTTTTTCTAAAACAAAAACGAGTTGACTTGAAGTTTTTAATATAATAGTAAGTTTGAGATAAAAATTGTCACATTATATTCAGCTTCCATAATATCATTTTTTTTGTAATTGATTAGCAATTTCGTTTGAAATCTGATAATCATTTATTTTATACTTTTTTTTTCTAGACGAGCGCGTATTACTCGTTTTATTTTATTTTTTCAAGATAGATTATTAAAAAGACAATCATTATGGATCAATCCGCAGGCAATATAAATGGTTCAACATATAAAGGCTTATTTATTTTCAGTTCAATTGCTGCTTCAGCTGGCTTACCAATTGATCAATTCAATTTTCTTTTATCTGAATTATTGGCATTAATTTTTGCTTTACTTTTTCGACGTTTTCTACCACCGAAACCTAGCAATACCATGACAAGACATATTGTTGGTATGATAATATTTTTTTTTGCAAGAAAAAATTTCCATTCTCTTGTTCATGATAGACTCCAAAGTCATTTAGGTTGAGGACTGGAAATGCTAATAGATGTCAGCTCGTTCCTAGTAAATGTAAATAGATTCATCAATTAAATCATGTATTCATTCATTTCTTTCTATTGATAATCTTCGAAGATAGATCTTAGACTACTAATCTATACAACCTTTGACATGCAAATCTTTCATCTACTATATACTGAAATACAATCAGTTCTATATGATACTAATGAACTTAAATAACTTAGAATTGATAGTATCATTAAAATTCTATGAAATAATATAATATGGTTACTCTAATTTCATTAAAAAATTTCTTTTTAGCTAGTTTACTTGGTCTTGCTCTTGGTTACTTTTGTTTTGGTGCAGAAATCTGGCATCTGATTGCACAATCAGCAGGTGTATATCTCATGCTATATGTAGTGCCTCCGAAACATTCATATCTTGTTATATTTGTTTTCTGTATGATTTATATGAGTGCCAGTAAGTTATCTTATTGATTAGAAATTAATCTATTATGATTATTATTTCATTAGTACATATACATCGAGTAATATATGATTATGGGAATTATACACTTGATATTAGTGGACCATTAATGATAAATACTCAAAAATTAACTGCACTTGCATTTGCATTCTTTGATGGTTATCGATCAAAACAACAAGCTAAACGTCAAGGCACAGATAAAACGGATGAAAAATCAGTTTTAAGTCCCGATCAAGAAACACAAAAAATAAATCATATACCAAATATAATTGAATATTTTAGTTATATTTTTTATTTTCATGGCATATGTGTTGGTCCATTATGTTTTTTTAAAGATTATTGTAATTTTATTGAAGGGAAAAATTTACTTGTTATACCAGTAAGTAAAGATACAAATCCATCATCGGATAAACAACAATCAGTAGAAAAACAAGAACAACCATCGGTATTCTGGCCAGTATTTACTAAACTTTTACAATGTGGTTTCTGGGGTTATATACTTATGATTTATACACCATATTATCCGGTAGAACATAATTTAAGTCAAGAAATGGTTAATTCTCCATTTATTAAACGAGTTGTTTTTCTTTTATGGTCAACATTTTGTTCTCGAGTTAAGTAAGTAGAACCAAAACAAAGAAATAATATGAAGACGATTTATTTTAGGTATTATTTTGCATTCATATTATCAGAAGCTATAAATAATGCAGCTGGTCTTGGTTTTAATGGTTATGATAAACAAGGAGTACCACAATGGAATCTATTAACAAATGTTAAACCACTTCAATTAGAATCAGCAACAAGTTTAAAAGTTGTTATAGACATGTGGAATATACGTAAGAATCCATATATAAATTTTATATTGTTTGACATCTTTGTTTATATTATACATAATAGAAACAGCTTTATGGCTTCGTCGTGTTTGTTATGATCGATTAAAAAATGGTCGAACATTGGGTGTTTTTGTTCTTTCAGCACTTTGGGTAAGAAAAGAATTTTAAATATAGAAAAAAGAGAAGTATTTATATACGATGAATAATTGCTTAATAGTAAAGAAAAGAGAGAATTGAATCCATGTCATTTTATTATTATTAATATTGTGTAATGTGATATGAAATAAATTATTTATGTCATCTGTCATACCACACATTCAATGTTCAAATAAGATTATACTTCATAATTTAGATAATTGAACACATTTTTAATTCCTTTAAATTTTTCGCTGAATTTATAAAACCAATAACATATTATTATTATTTCCTTGAATAGATAATTTTTCTAATAATCAATATCATATCTTTCATAAATATATATTGACAAATAAAAATGGTATTCAATTTCAACAAACTGAACATATTGAGAAAATGACAGGATCTATAGAAATTAGATATTGAAATATTTGCATTACTCTATAGCATAAACTAAATTTCCTTTCTTTCTCTTCGACACATAATTCTTATCTAGACGAAAGACGATTTTATATTTGTGAATCAACTTAATAAATATCATATATCATCATTAATGTCAATATATGCTACGATTTAAAGGTAAAAAAAAATAATGCACATTTCTTTTTGCATGTTAGTGTTTTATCTTACTAATAACTATTAATAATATATTTTCTTTTTTTCTTATATACTTTCATTAATTATCCATGCACGTCTATCTTTTGTTACTTTTTAATCTTTTCTCACCATAACACTTGCATAATTCTCTCGAGATAAAAACAATTATTAGAATACAATTCAAATTAGAAAAAAAAAGAAAAAGCCTAACGAGAATAATTCATATCTTTTATTTCAATTGAAATAGGATAATTACATATAATTGTAGATATTAAAAGTATTTCTTGCTTGTTTTTATTTTAGCATGGTTTTTATCCTGGTTACTATGTATGCTTCATTTTAGCAGCATTTCATACATATGCTGGTCGTGGTATTCGACGACAAATACGTCCATATTTTCAAAAGAATGAAGTGACAAAAATTATTTATGCTTGTCTTACTTGGTTTGGTACACAAATGGCACTTAGTTTTGCAGTAACACCATTTGTGTTAATGGAAATTCGAAAAGCTTGGTATTTTTATCAAACATGGTATTTTAGTGTACCAATTCTTTCAATTATTCTTGCATTAACATTAAATGGTTCAAGTTCGAAATCAAAGCAATCATCATCATCACAAGAAAAAGAAAAAAAAGAAAAATAAAAACATTTTTTCATATTTATATGGTTTCGGTTTTAAAGAAAAAAAAAAGACTTATTTATTCTTCGTTTAGTATTGTATTCTTCAATATCTATTTGGTCTTTAGTTAATTATTATTTAAAAAAAATAAAAATAGACAGGTTTGCCAGTATAAAGATACGTTTTATAAAGTATTAAATGAAGGTGTTGTGGCATACATCCTGGATATATGTGCATGCGTGCAAAAGAAGATCGAACGTGTTTTTTGAAAAGGTTGTCTGTTTTATTTCCTCTCTTTCTTCATCTATCTCATGATGAAGGTTATTCACGTAGATCTACAACTCGAGTGTGAAAAAAAAAGAAAAAAAAAATTCTTTTTTTTTCTTCTTCTACTTCTCTTATCATCATTATAGTTTTATTAATTGAACTTGCGTAATAATACCCATGATTATTGACAAAAATTTTATTATATATACTCAAGAATCATCGATCAATGTTAGCTGTTCTAGCTGATAAAATTTTCATATTTAAATACAATCGAGGGGTACTAGTGACATATCCAATGTATACTCTATAGTAGCGTCTATGTAAGTTATTCTGTAAATCATGTTTTTCTCTTTTTCTTACTGTAAAATGAAACAGAAAAGAAAGACGTACATAGTAATATTTGATTGTTGATATCTCGAGAGAGATTCAAAAAAAAAAGCTAGCATAAGAAGACCGACAAAGCTAACCATAGTATTTTATTTTTTCTCTCTCTCTCTCTCTCTTAATGCAATACTGATGCATTCTCACAAGTCAGCAAAAAGAATTTTTCTTATGCTTTTGTTTTTTTCTCTCATATGCAAATATGTTTCCAGAATTAGAGAAAATGAGAGAAACAGTATCACTTTAATCATACTTACTCACGGTAGTTAGCAATAGTTATGTTACTAGTAGAGAAACTAGAAGACAAGAAGAAGAAGAAGAAGAGAGATATTATTCTGATAAAAAACAGAATTCATTATGAGAACAAATGGAATTCACCATACACTTGAGCACATACAATCATCAACAGTCACACGAACAAAAACCATCGATCTTCGAGCTTTTTGTTTAATGATATTGAACAAGAATATAGATGATGATCAAGGACTAGATTTTATTTTTGGTAAGTTTTTCATTTATTATTACTCAAATTTCACTGGTAAAAAAAAGAATGAGAAAACGATGCTAAATATACATATGTATATGTATTAAAATACAGAGAAATCGGATCTGTACAAAGTAAACCTTCAACATTATTGAGTCAATAGTAAACACATGCGCATGGATTATTGCTTCAAGTGGATTTCTATCTTTTGATCAGTCATTTATTTTGCTTTCACTCTCTCTTTTTTTTTCAATATAAGGTTTCAACTATCTAGTCAGTTTTCTGGCTTTCTTATCTTACTTATCATTATTGATATTTATAAAGAGATTAGTTCTTCTTTACAACGATGTCATCATCACCACCATCATCATCTACCTTTCTCTCTCTCTTTTTTTTTGTGTGTCTTTATCCTATCGAACAGTTTGACGGCCTTCACCTTCATGTTGTACATCTGTTCCTACAGTATAATTAAATTATCATCATGGATCAATATCGAATACTTCTAAACGACAAGTGTATGTACACAATCTCTTTTTTCTATGCATATGTGTTATTGAAACCGAGTACTTCTCTTTTGTTATAATGGATTTACTGTCGTTATACGCTTCATTTGTACATGTATGTATGCGTTCGTGAAGCATAGTGCAATGACAAATATATGCGAATAAGACTATATACGTGCATATAAAAAGCTGTTGACAAAAAGAGAAAAAGATAGACAGAGTAACAGTCGATAATAAATAGCAAATCTATAGATTGTTGTTGGCTATGGCACAAAAACCGAAACCAACATACTTCTCTCTCTCTCTCTCTTCGTCATGTCATTCTCTAAAAAAAAACAGCTGCACCACGACTTATATCGACGGCAGACATGGCACTATACATAGAGCAATAGAACAGAGTAAAAGAAAAACGAGAATCTCATTTTTTATGCGTTTTGCTGCCGCTTATACGTGTGCGTATGTTGTTGTCAGCAACAGCAGCAGCAGCAGCAGTAGAAGTAATAGCAATAGAAGACAGTAAAGGAAGAGAGAAGAAAAAAAAAGTTATTTCATCAAAATCGCATCAAACTACTACTGACATCATGTCATCCATATATCCAAGATTTGTACGAATCGACAAAACAAAATCAAACTATGGTAATAAGAAGAAAAAAGAAATTTATCTGTTGCCGTCTTCTGATGGAAGGTCACAGACAGATATAGACAGGTGAGAACGAAAAAACCTTCGGATAATATTATTCCTATACATATACATATGTATGTGTGTACATATATATTACCTTTGCATACTTTGCTTTTTTTTTCTTCTTCTTCTTCTTTTGCATGTGTACTCGTTATTTATTATTAATGTTGAAAACCGTGAAACAAAATATGTACGTATATGTATTTATATGTAAGTATCTTTTAGTTAGTAATGAAGGAAGAGGAAAAAGGAAAAAACACATTGCACACTAGCCACTTGTTGTTTGAATAAGTACACTGAGCAATAGATAAAAAAAAAATAAAACATACACACATATGCGAAATAACGATTACTGACAGCTGTTACAATCCATTGCATACTATTATTTTACAGGTAAGTTCATTTCATATTATTTGCTTATGATCTAATTGAATTTCCTTTTCTTTTCGGATAAATTATATGAAATCTTTTTTTGATATCAAATAGTTTGTAAAATTAATATTTTTTTCGAAGTAATATATCAATGTTGCTTTATTAATTGAGGAAGTTAGCATACCAACCGTCTCCTTTCATTAATGTATATTCGTCAGTCGTCTAACCTTGTCTATATATCGTTGTCATCGCTTGTTAACCTACGTATTTTTTTTTGTTCATTACTTATCTGTCGTTTACATTCGATTCCATCCATCAACTACTTTTTTTTTATACATAAGAATGATGACAGTCATATAAATAACATTTGATAAAAACAAAAAAGAGTAAGAAATAAAATACTGTTCAATGAACCGATATATCAAGTTCTAAGTAAGCAATAGAAAAAGCTCGTAAAAATAGCATGATTCTTATTGTTTTCTTTTCCATTTATTATCTACTATTTGTCTATCAGCGCTTTTTCATATATATATATATATATCAATATGTATGTATTCATATAAATGTTTGCGATGATTAAATTGGAAGTAATTCTAACATTTTGACATTACTCTACCTATGTAAAAAAGAAAACGAGAAAAAAAACGAGAGAAAAAGTAAAGTACACGCGTAAATATCAATTGCGAAGCTGCAGAAAAAAATTATAGCAGTTCTCTTACATATACATGCACACTACAGTAGTGTTACATCGATAGCAAGGAACTTGAGGCGTCGACGGCGTTGTTCTTTTCTCGTCTCTCTCTCTCTCTCCCTCTCTTCTGTTATTTGGGTAGTGGTATATTTGACACATGGATGTGAGTAGTTATGCTCTTCTCTTCATCTCATATTGATGGAATAAAAAGAGAAAACGAGAGAGAAGAAAAGAAATAAATGAGTTCTTTTTAAGTTGAGAAGTTTGCATGCCAATAATCATTAATCGATACTAAACGCTTTTGATATTTTCTTATATCAAAATTGTACATCGTTATTATATCAATCTATACGGTTAAGTTACTTTTGTTATGTTATGTTTTTTTTTGCCTTTTCTATCAATTAAATAATGTCAAGTAGTAAAAATCATTATTATATTATATCGAATAAAATTATATCTGGTTACTGTCTATATCCCATACTTCCTTGTAGAAATCTGTCTACGTTTTGTTGTTAGCAATTGAAGAAAAGAAAACCTTCAGTAATATCTATATCTGTACATCTCATCGCTCGCCTACAGATGTAGGCGCACATGTATACTGATGGAAAACTAAAACAATAGAAATAGATCTTGACCTTGTATTCGATATAGCACTTGTTCTATTTGATATATATATATATATATATACATGTGAGGACAAGTTTACTGTTTATATCAAACTAGTTATTAGTAGTTCGTATAATAGTCTACAAATGAGAAAAATATTAGAAACAAAAGAAATGAGAATATATTGATGTCTAAAGAAAAGTGAGATGCATGCGTGCGTTCAACAGCACACTCTATACGCATGATTGATGATGCACAATGCGTGAATGAAATAGATGGTAGGTAATAGAACTTTAAAAAAGACAAATGAGTAGCATGTTAAATAACAGTAAAAAGACGAAGCAACATCAGTAGACATAGAAAAAAAAGTAAATAGAACTTTTATATACAGACAAAAAAAAAATGAAAAGTTATAATATTTTACTATTGGTATTTTAAGAATTCTATTTCCCTAACTATTATTCATTATACATTGCACGATTCTTTTTCATTATTCTCTTATATATTGTTGCGATCGTCTTTACACTAGTGACATATATCGATATTGATCAAATTACACTATTATTCTAGAATTTCTTGTCTATCAGTCTGCCACTCTTTCTTACTTGGCTGTCTTTGTTTTTGTCCTTTTAATACTTAATAGACTATAAAATATCAATTACTTTTGACATCCATCGTTACTTCGCCCATTCCACCACACACATACATGTATATATATATATATACTTGTGTATGATGATGGATCACTAATAGACTCTATCAAGGTAGCATCGTTTGGTGTGTCCTTGTTTACCATTTCTTTTTTCATTTCTTTTTTTGACAGGGTATTTGTATACATATATATATATATATATATTTCTAGATGTTACACAATATTAGATCAAAACTATTTTCTTAAACTATGTATCATTCTAATTTATACGTAATGATCTCTCGACGATAATTTAATAACAGTGCCATTTTAAATCCGACAAACAGTGAGCTTAGTATATGTCTTTCAGTTTTTCTACAACTACTGTCGATCCATACGGTACACATCATTCATCATCGAACAGTATGCATCATCAACAATATATATCACCATTAACTGGTTCATCATCATCCTCAACTGGTGGATCACCAACAACAACTGTACAAGTTCAAGCCGGTCCTAATATGCCTCTATTAACATCAATTGCAAATGTAAAAGATTCACGTTGGCTTACACTTGAAGTATGTCGAGAATATCAACGTGGAA